GGGTTTTTCATTATAGCTATTCTGCTATGAGAGGGAGACTTCTCACATTTCATTGTTGAACCATAAGAATATAAAGCAATTAAATTCAGAGCCCTTCCCGCAAAGGAAAGGCAGCCAGTTTTCATTATATTTTATAATACTCAATTAATTGCTCTATCCTACAGTACAAGCCTGAAAGATTCCATTATTATCTCTACAACAAGAAACAACAACTACAATAACTTCAATCATATCTCAATTAACTGCTCTATCCTACAGTACAAGCTTGAAAGATTCCATTTTTATCTCTACAACAAGAAATAACTACTACAATAACTACGACTCAATCCGAGCAGAGGCAAACAGTAGGTGGCTTTTTCCCATTTGCCTAAGCTTTGGCGTGCAAAGTTACCCGGTACTAGTAAGGTAGCAGGTACAGGGTGGAATAGTTGAGGGGCGCGCAAGCTGGCCCGGACACCAACGTCTTTAAAATAAATAACTATGACTCAATCCAAAACTAGTTGCGGTCGGCTATATGAATCCTCTATATCCGTCCCGCTTCATTTAGGCCCCTTTTATTTCAAATTATTATATCTAAACATACATAATGCACATCAAAATTGGAAAGAAAAAAAATCAACAGTATTCAACTATTCATTAAATGGAAAAAGAATAAGAAAGAAGGGAGAATTTACGCTAGCGCTCGGAAATTATCACGAATTTCTCCATGGATCTGCTCCATTTGTGGGTTCATTTGCAAGTCCAAATTCGCCATTTTTTGGGCCTCCAATTTTCTCTTCTTTTTCTTCTTCGTTTATTGCCGGATTAGAACCCTAAACAAATTCCTCACCGGCAGATCAAAGATATTTAAACAATACCCAACTCTGCAAAAATTGAAAATTCACCAGAATTCACACCATTTTTAACAAATTAGATATTAAAAGTGGCTACTTTTGCAAATAACTGAAATTAAAAACTGACAGCTCTCAAGTTGGGTTTTTAACAAAGGACGGGAAAATACATAGAGGGAAAAGAAATTGGATTTGGAATGGTTTAGGGTTCTTGAAAGAAAAAAAAGGGGAAAAAGAAGGGAAGAGAGAGAAGAAAAATAAAAGAATTGATTATTTGTGTGTTTGGTAATAAGGAAAAATAATGATGGAAGTACAGGCTGCCATTGGACTCTTTTTTCTCTTCTTTTCCTTTCTTTTTCTTGTCAATGTGCACAACACCCTTGCATTAGTTTGCTACTACTAATTATTTTGACACATACTAATTTTTAACCGCTTTAAAAAATAATAGCTAATAATACATACTATTTAATATGTATATAATATATTATACATATATATATTATATTTTTTAGCTTATCCATGTATTATGTCATAGTTTATTATGTATAAGAATAATACTGAAATATGACATATATACGTACCAAATAAGAGATTAATAATATCCAAGCTAATATATAATTATTATTTTTTACTATATCCTACGAAACGACCCCTAAAGAATAGAGCACTTTCTCTTACAATTTTTATTTTATTTTTAAGGCTCGAATCTAAGACTTGTGACTAATAATAAAAGAATTTTATTCATTGCACCATAATTCTTAATAGTGGCTCCTAATCTCCTGTAGTACTATCACACTCTTCAAAGATAAAAATAATAAAAAGAAAAAGAAAAAGTATACCTACAGTTAGGGGTCATTGGTTTGAATACGGTTTATGCCGGGATAAATTATTCTAGGATAAGTCATGTTGGAATTAGTTATGTTGGGGTTAGTTATCCTGGTATTATTTTCTATCCACTATTTGGTATGTTGTATTAAAAATGACAATTGCATAATTTCTAAGTAGAAGGTATCCTGGCACTAATTACCCCACTCTCTGCAAGGTATAAGTTATCCCGGTACTAATTTTAATCCCGGGATAACTTATACCAGGTTTGCTAACCAAACTATTAAGGTGGTATTAATTATTTATACCAGCACTATACCTTCTTATACCTCGTACCAAACGACCCCTTAGTGGTTTTTGTTTATTATTGGGATAAAATCTCATGTGGGATTTTTGCCTGATTCCAGTTGATGCAACTCTACTTTACTTTTAACTCAAATACCTAGCTTTGTATATAATATAAAAATTCGAATTTATTATGTACGTAATCATTCAGATACCAATTTATATTTATTGGTTTTAGTAGAATTTAATATTTTTAACATGAACCATAAATATAAATTTGAGAAATTACTAAAATTATAATAAATAACATATTTTGAAGCTATAATTTTAAAAATATAATATGTTCATGAACCCATCAAATTTACATTTGAACCAAAACTACCTACTTATGGAGTAGTTGTTTTATCCGTCCAAAAGTTGTGTAATCAGAAATTAATTAATAATATAGCCAGTACTTGAGCTGTCAATAGACAAGAATCATTACCGTTAAGAAGTCCACTAATTACAATATTTTTTCTAACGATCGCTTACTTTTGAAAATTATGATTTCGTCCTCTAATTTCTTAATTATTCTAATCCATGCTTTCGAGAAACTTATGTTAACTAATTAGGAGAGTCAACCAATGGTTACTGCATTTGTCAGAATTTGACATAAAACGTGCTGAAGGATAATAGCAAAACAATGTGCATCACGAGTGTTACATAAATACTCTGCTTACTATATAAAGATTCTTTTCTTAGTACCAACAAGGATTCCGGTGGAGTGATAATTACTGCTTCATCCTTAATCAGAGGTCTCGGGTTCGAACCCCTGGATATAGAGTCATCGTTATTAGGGAGCAGAGGCGGCTCAACGAAATTGGTGGCCTAAAGCTGAACGTTAAAAAGAGGCCCAAAATTTATTTAATAAAATTGTATATATTTATAATTTTTTTTTTTTTTGTTATGTAATAATAGTCTTATGGATTGCCTTGTACGTGTTTTCTCCCTTCACTCGGTTACCTGCTAGCTTTCACCATCGAAGATATCTAATAACTCTACTTACTAAGGTTTCGAATTTTTTTTTATAAGAAATATTCGCGGTTGAGAAACATTTTTTAAGTTCCCAGCATCTAATGATCGTAATTTTGTACTACTAAAGTAGATTTTTAAAATAATTTTATACATTTGAAATAGTTCGAGTTTATTTGAAATAAAAAACATGACTTAGACCTACTCTTTATAAGAAATAATTTATTTTAAAAGATATTACAAGAGATTTTGTTTTAATTTTTTTATTATCAATGTCATCATCAAACTATTATTGTGCCATAATGTATGTTTATTATAAAATTCAAATATTTTTTTAAATAACCTCTTTTTTTTCTAAATAACTTCTATATCCAAAAAAAAAAATTAGTATCTTTTTTTTTTATATATAATAATCATTATTTAATAATATAAATTTAACTAATAACTGAAAATTGGGGTCTTCATTTAGGGGTTGGGGGTTGGGGGTTGGGGGGGGGGGGGGGCTAAAGCAATTGCTTTTAGCTGCCTCCCCCCCGGGCCGGGAGCACTTTACCTCCAATGTGGGATTTTTCAGTGCGAATCCGAATTTAGTCGGGCCCCAATGTAGATATCGGACACCGGGTAGGAAACAAAATAAAGAAAAAATCTTTTCTTAGTCTCTTACTCCCGTTTCATACGCACTTTAGGATCCAACGTCTAATCTGGATCGCATCCGAAAGTCCTATTCTGGGTAAAACAGTCCTTGCGACGATTATATATTCAAAGCTCGAACCACGTCAAGACCTTCAGTTAAAAATAAAGGAATACTTATCACCTCCGTTATAATAACTAGCTATATGAATATCGATGTAGACACATGGCTTACTAATCCAAGCTACTAATTAATTAGATAGAGTTACAAGACTTTAATATACTTAACCACCGAGTTAAATGCCTAAGATATGTGGTAATGACTATCTTTTTTGGTGTTGATTTGAATACGAATCATTTTATTTGATTGGACTACCGTAGTTTAATAAGGTGGACTTTTTGGTATAACTCCTTTAGGCGTTTTTAATATATCTGAAATTACTCACTGAAATTGTAATCCGAAATCTTTATTTTTCGTTTAGTTTGTTTTTTAAGTAGTCAAATTTACGTCAAATCATATTAATTTATTACAGTCAAATGATAAATTGAGGTAAAAATATATAATTAATCAATTATGATTTCAGTAATAATCAATAATAATAATGTATACTAAGACGTATGTGTCAAGCTCCAGCTGTGAAGTCTCCTAAAGCTAGCAATCGAGAAGGAAGAAGAAGATGGAATTGGGGAAAATATCTTCTGTGTATTAGAAACAATCAGTAACCGACTATATATACATTGTACAGTGAAATAACTGCCTAACTAATGACCAACTAATACAACAACAATCCAGTAGGATCCCACGAGTGGGATCTGAAGAGGATAATGTGTACGTAGACCTTATCCCTATCCTGGAAGGCAGAGAGGTTGTTTCCGAAAGACCCTCGGCTCGAGAGGAAGAATAGGAACAAGTAATAACAACAACAAGGCCATGAAAATGATACCAACAATGTAAGAATCAGAGAAAATAAATGGAAGAAAGCAGTACCAATAGCAACAAACAGTAACACAACAAGGTACTAGAAAATCGAAGCGGAAGATAGTACTAAAACAACCCTAATATGGGAACTCTAAGAATCGAAGACAATGTATTAGTCAGCTAGTTCTAATAAACCTAGAACAGATCATCAAAACACACAACGACCTATTACCTTTTTCTAACCTAATCTTCGACCTACATACCCTCATGTCAAGGGACATGTCCTCGGTAAGCTGAAGTCGGGCCATGTCCTGGCTGATCACCTCTCCCCAATACTTCTTAGGCTGCCTTCTACCTCTTCTCCTACCTGCCAACGCCAGCTATTCACACCTCCTCACTGGGGCATCTAGGCCTTTCTTTCTCACATGCCCGAACCATCTAAGCCTCATTTCAAGCATCTTATCCTCCATAAGGGCCACCCCTACTTTCTCCCGAATATCCTAATTCCTAATCTTATCCAACCTAGTGTGCTCGCACATCCATCGCAATATCCTTATTTCAGCTACGTTCATCTTTTGGATATGGGAGTTTTTGACTGGCCAGCATTCTTCCCCATACAGTATAGCCGGTCTAACCGTCGCTTTGTAAAACTGACTTTTAAGTTTTGGTGGCATATTCTTGTCACACAGGACGCCGGATTCTGGCTTCATTTCATCCACCACCCTTATACGGTGTGTGACATCCTCGTCAATCTCCTCGTCCCCTTGGATAACTGACCCGAGATACTTGAAACTTCCTCTCTTGGGGATAACTTGTGAATCAAGCCTCACGTTTATATCTGCTTCCCCTGTCACTACACTGAACTTGCACTTTAGGTACTCCGTATTCGTCATGCTCAACTTTAAACCCTTAGACTCTAAGGTCTGCCTCCAAACCTCTAACTTTTCATTGGCACCGCATCGCGTCTCATCAATTAGTACTATATAGTCAGCGAATAGCATACACCATAGCACCTCCCCTTGAATATGATGTTTACATAATTAATCTCCTAACTGACTAGCTTGTACAACTGTCATGACGCATCATCCCTTCTCTCTAACACTCCCCTCAAGCTATGTAGTGAGGACAAGTTGACACTCCCAGCTTGGACAATAGAAACTCATGTTGTACTCTACCGAGTCCTTTAGTCAATACATCTGTCAGTCACTGGTTCGAGGGAACATGTTTTGTTTGTATAAGGCCTCCTTGTATATTTTCCCTAACAAAGTGACAATCAATATCTGCATGATTTGTTCTCTCGTGGAAGATAGGATTTGTTGCAATATGAATTGCAGGCTTACTATAACAACATAGTTTCACAGGCAGATGTAACTTCATTTCCAATTCTTCAAATAATCTAATCAACCATACTACCTCAGCAACTGCATTATCCATGTTCATATACTTTGCTTCTGCTGAGCTCCTTGAAACTATGTTATGTTTCTTGGACTTCCAAGAAAACAAGGAGTCTTAAGCTTTACCACAATACCACTCACGAATTTTCTAGTCATGGGACATGTAGCCCGGTCAGCATCACAATACACTAAGTTATCTTGAAAGCTCTGAGGAAAGTAATATTCCCTGTCCTGGTGCATTCTTCAGGTATTTGACCGCTCTTAGGGATCCTTCCATATGTGATTTCTTCGGCTGGTGCATAAATTGGCTCAAGTTCTATACTGCATAGCTCGCCTAGTCATGGTCAAATACATGAGCTTTCCAACCAAATTCTGATAAGCAATGGGATCTGACATTACTGTATCTTATGAATTTCCATATGTGCATTGATCATACTCTGCACTAGTGAATCTTTGATTAACCTCCAATGGCATGCTAGAAGGCTTGGACCTTGCAAGGCCAATTTTAGCAATCAAGTCCAGAGTGAACTTTCTTCGACAGACCAAGATGCATGCCTTTCTTCTAACAATCTCAAGACCAAGGAAATATCTCATCTCCTCCAAGTCCTTGAGCTTGAAGTGAGTCTGAAACAAGTGTTTGACATCTTGGATGAGGGCAATAGAAGATCCTGTGATCAACAAGTCATCCACATAGATTAGGATCAGCACCAAGCCAGAACCAGAACTCTTGCTGAAGAGGGAGAAGTCATGATGACTTTGAACAAAACCAGAAGTAGTGAAGGCCTCATTAAGCTTCAGGTTCCACTGTCTTGAGGCATGTTTCAAGCCGTATAAAGACTTTTGCAATTTTCAGATCTTTATGTGTTCACTCTACCTGAGAAGACCAGGAGGTGGAACCATATACACATCCTCCAACATACCCCCTGAAGAAATGCATTAAAGACATCAATCTGATGCAACTGCCAACCATGCATAGCATCCATGGACAAAACTACCCTTACAGTCACCATCTTAACTACTGGAGAAAATATTTCTTGATTATCAAAGCCCCTCCTGTTGTGTGTATAGCCCTTGCCACCAACATAGCCTTATACCTCTCTACCTTTCCCCGAGCATTGTACTTGACCTTAAATGCCCATTTGCAACCTATTTGCCTTTTGCCAGAAGGGAGATCAAATATGCTTCATGACTGATTATAATTCAAGGGCTGTAGTTCCTGATTCATAACTTCTGTCCACTTAGGATCCTGTAAAGCTTCTGCATAAGTGGTAGGTTCTTTAACTGCGGAGAGGTTACACACAACCTCATAGTAAGCAGGTGACATAGGAGCATAGGTCATGTATGCTGACTGAGGATATTGTGAGATTGGCATGGCCTTAGAGGTAGTATTTTTGTGTTTTACTCCATGAATATAGCCAATTGAGCCAACCAGGTGGCTTAGGTGATCTCAAATATGTCTTGCAACTGGTAGAGTCCTCAACATCAGGAGCAGCAACACCATCCTCAGCTACAATAATTGGTCTCATAAGGACAAACTTGGGGTGGGCTAAGCATCATTAACAGGGCTCCTTGGTGTCACAGGAGCAATTTCTATGGAGCAGCAAGATCACTGCATTGCCATCAGAGGACATGAGAGGAACTTGATCATTCCCTACTATGGTGAAACCTGGAGCAACACTAGGCATGAAGGCATTATCTGACAAAGTTTCAGCAGCAGTGGCAAAGCAATCAATATGTGCATCTGCAGGCATCCTATTTGATGGGACTGTGACTGAAAACGGAAGATATGTTCCTTGAAAGATACATCCCTGTTCACAAAAAATATTTTGCTAGCAACTATAAAGTTTATATCCTTTCTAAGTGGAAGAATACTGCATATGAACTGCCTTTCTGCCATGACACCAAACTTGTCACCTTTATCAACTATGTTGGTAGCATAACATAAGCTACCTAGTACCCTGAGATGTTGCAAGTTTGGTTGCCTCCCATAGAAGATTTCAAAAGGTGATCTCCCTGCCAAATCAGTTGAAAGGATTTTGTTTATTAGGTAAACTGCATTCTGAACACATAGTCCCCGGAACCTAAGAGAAATAGAAACTTGAAATCTGATGGCTCTGGCCACCTCAAGGATTTGCCTGTACTTCCTCTCCACCACCCCATTTTGTTGAGGTGTACTAGCACACGAGCTTTGATGAACTATACCTGCATTGTTAAACAATGTTGCACAATTTAAATTGAAAAAGTCCGTCACATTGCCACTCCTGAAAACTTTGATTGAATAGTCAAACTGTGTTTCACAAGTAGCAAAAAATTCTCTAGGACGATTGACACATCACTTTTCAGCTTAAGCAAGAAAATACATACCATCCTACTACAGTCATTGACTAGAGTAAGAAAGTATCTATTGCCATCATATGTAGGAACCCTAGAGGGTCTGCATACATCTCCATGAATCAAGTCAAATACTTCATTTGATCCACTAGTACTTTGCGGAAAAGGAAACCTAGTCTGCTTTGCTAATAGACAAATGGAACAGGAGCTACTATTGCTCATCTTAATGTGTGGTATTAGATGTATCTGGTGTAAAATTTTGTGGGGAACATGTCCCTGTATCCTATGCCATAGATCCTCCTTATTGGTGAGATTGAGTGTCACTAAATGCATAGCTTTAGTCTTGAAGTTGTGTTGCTAGTAGTATAGGCCATCTTCCATTCTACCAGTCCCCTTCACCTTCCCATTGAGAAGATCCTGCATTAGGCAAAAATCAGGAAAGAACAACATGCAGCAGTTTAATTCTTTGGTCAACCTTGCCACTGACAGCTAGTTGTACTTGAAATATGGCACACAAAGGACACCAATAATATCACCTTTATCCAACCTACATTTGCCAACTTATTGGTATTTTATCCCTATTTGGTAAATGTACCTTTTTATTATCTGAATTAGGTCGTGTCCAAGCCTCAGTCATCATACTAGGGTTGGACACCAAATGATTAGTTACTCCAGAGTCAACTATCCATCTACTATCATCTTTATTAGCAACAAAAGCACAAAAAATACATGCCACATTAGTGGTTGCCTCATGTACATTGTCTTTGTTCGGTATCCTCAGAATCTGCCCATATTGTTCTGGAGTGAAGGACATTGTGCCCCACCTGTAAACCCTTGAGTGTGAGCTTGCCCTCCTGCAAATGATCTTTGAGCCTTCACTTGCATACCTACAGATCCTTGAGCTTGCCTAAAGTTGTCATTGCCCTGTGTTTGGTCCTACATGCTTGTGAATGAAGTTTCCAAGGTTCTGCTCATTGGAATTACCATAGTGGATATTGTTGGCACCTTGTTTCTGCTCAATATTACCACCATAGTATGCATTATTATCCCCTTGTTTCCTTCTTCCTTTAAAATCAGCGGGATATCCAAACTGAGAACAATTTTCCCTATTATACCCTTTCATCTTGCAATTGTCACATTGTATAGTGAAGTTGCGTTTAGGTTTCTGTTGTGAACCTTTAGCACTCCGTAAATAAGTGATGTCATTCCCTTCAACTAGTGAATTAATGCCTACAGTAGTGATGTTTGGGGGCTACTGTTGGCTCTCGTCTTCGATTATCATAGCATATGCTTGGTTGAGGGTTGACTCTGTGGATTGCATAATAATTTATCTTCTAGACTAAGCATATGATTCATTCAAACCACTAAAAAACTGGAGCAGCCTCTGCTTTTGAAGATGATCGATGTAGTCCTTCGATTTAGCGCAACCACAATTAGGCGAAGGGACCATTACATCAAATTCAGCCCAAAGTTCATTCAATTTTGTGAAAATACATCGAGACTGAGTCGGTTCCTTATGAGATCGTAGCAATTTCTCGGTGAAGTTTCTCGGTGAAGTTGGAAAATCCCCATACGATTAACCTTGTCAAATCTCTTCTTCAAATCTTCCCCGACCAAATGTGCATCTAAAGCATACACAATCCCACTAATGAGATTCGGAGAGACCGTGTTCGTAATCCATGAAAGGACGATTGTATTGCATGTCTCCCAATCCTCATGAAATTCCTTCTTAAGCAAGTCCTTGGTGCAAGTACCAGTGACAAATCCTATTTTTCACTTTGCCTGTAATGCAATCCTCATCGAATTCCGCCATAGACAATAATTCTCAGATCCCTTGAGTTGAACTGGAATCAATACGGAGCTTGGAGTGTCCGATGGATGTACAAACAAAGGATGCGTGTGATCAATTTTCGTTTCCGACATCAATGGACCAGATCAAAGAAGACGAACATGATAAGAAGAAAATTAGGCTACGAACAGAGTAAACGCAACTTCAATTCGAACTCGAAACTCCGTAAAGTATAGGAGAAGCGTGAAGAATCCTATTCGACCGCTCATATACCATATCAAGCTCCAGTTATGAAGTATCCTAGAGTTAGCAATCAAGAAGGAAAAATGTCACGATCTGGATTTTTCACCCTCGGGAGTCGTGATGACGCCTACTAATG